CCCTATTGTATATTTATTTTATTATCACGGAAACATACCGAGCGCCTGTGCATCAGACCACCTCTATTTATTAGTAGTCTGAGTTTATACATATCTGAAAGAGATTCTTCCATATAAGGTAGCGACAAGGGGAAGTATATTAAAAACGTTATTATTTAGGTCAGATAAAGGGCCCTTTTTTTGTTTTTTTGTTTTTTTGAAATGTATAATTCTCACGTCAAAAGTGCCTAATAATGCGGACCCCAACCTGTTGTTTTATCTTCGGTTTTTTTCTGTATTTATATAGTAAATCTCGGCGAAGGCGTAGATTGCATCATCGGATGGTTGCTTGAATCGTCCTCGAGTTCTGTCCTGTTCTGAATATTTTTGATTCAAACTAATTTGAATCGTGATGGCGGTGAGAGTGCACAAAATGATCGGTTCAATTTAGTTTTGGATATGGTTTGTTTTCCAAAAAGTCATAAGAATACCTAACGCTTTAAAATCCACCCGCATGAGTCCCAACTTTCCTTTCACTTGTGGTGTCGTCCTCTCTATTCCAATATATTTTAACCGGGCTGCGATCTTATTATGTACAATGCTGTCTTTGGTAGTGCCGTTGAGAATGTTTTTTGATTCCTCGGCAGGCTAATAGTCTTCTTTCACAGCTATTATGGCCACATGACCCGAATTTGCCGAACGACTCCGAGAACTGCCGAACAAAATATGTAAACAGACTTAGGGATCACCCGGCTACGCGATTACGATCAAAATAATCAGCGGCAAAACAGAAAGATCAAAGTGAAAGTGGTCAGTCCATGGTATGAGGTAGTAGTGATTATGTAATCTTGCACTTCTGTAGGTAGGTCGGCCCTGGCACCCTCTCCGGCGTTGATAATTTAGGGTGGTCTTACTATTTAGCTTAGTGTTCGCCTAATATTTGGGTAAGCTCAAAGACTGCCTTATTTCACAATGTGAGCCACATTAATATGTTGCATTCGCGAAACTGTGCGATTCATACGCTGTTCAGACGATGGTGCGAGTTTATACACAGTTGTAGACAACCATAGCTGACAATGCTGCGCCGTAGCGATGCGAGATCAAGACGAATGCGGAAACTACATGTATATATGAAGGACATTGAACCTGGAATTTGACAGGAATGACCGGAAATGGTTCTCACTAAAATATTATCTAACATTAATACATTCCCCACGTACGTACCTTTCAGTTGTCTTCAATACGTTGTACGAAACTTGATATTAGCCTTGCAAGCAAATGGATGCTACTAGTACTAGAAGTAGTACACGGCCGAGGGAACCGAAGACAGTTGATAATTCACGGCCGCGTTAGGATTTAATAAAACAGGCCTATGCCGGACCACTACACAACGAATAGAATACTATGTATGTAGTATCGAACGCCAGGTTCCACTCAGCTTCACTTTTAATAGTACCACGGACTTACGCCTATAGTGACTTGTAGTGGTGTGTGAATGCGCATGTGCAGAAATAGGGGGGATGATGGTAAATAAAGCCCTGACACTACATTTATGCTACGTGTTTTGGCTTGCACAGCCCACGCTTCAAGGTCAACTATCAATTCACACTCAGCGAGTAAAACTGCATCAGTGTATACACTCCTTTATAAACCAAGTTTAAAGTGCCTGTGAAATGACCGTCTGCACAGTTATGTTTTGGGGTTTACGTTGCCCTAAAATGGACATATGTTAAAAACATATAATTAAGTAATAGATCATCTTCGAGTAATATTGAAAAACGATTCTGTGTTGTAGCCACCCCCTTCCTTTCGCAGTCGACTGTTTCATGCTTTCAGACCTCCCCAAGTGACAATGTATGCAAGTGCCATACACTGATTTACGTAAAAGGTAGCGGTAGTCTGTAAATTAGTAAGCTAATGAAAATCGTGATTTCGTTATCTTGAAACATGGAACTATAAACCCCTAGTTCCATGCTTGAAAGTAATAGATTGTTTGAACATCGATTGAATAGGGAGTAAATGTACTAATTACGATCAAAGCATTGCCTCAAGGCAAATCCGATTATTACAGCCACATATATGTAGTTGCGTTAATGCCATGTAAAAGTAAACGTTTTTGTGGAATAGTTATTAGTCAAATGCATGCACAGTGACGCACGTGTTAGTACCTGCGATCACCGAAATATACCATTGCATGCCACGATGAAAGTTGGCGAAATTAAACGAACGAAATGGGTCCGGGTTCTTGTAACCGAAACAAGTTGTCACGGTATAAATAATACAGCGTGATATTTGTCGTCCAAGATTTGTTCAAAAAAATTTGTTGAAGTTTATTTTAGATTATTCACTAGTAGCTTCGCGGTGAGTAGGTTTCGCGGTGAGTGGGTTTCGTATCGGTTGGGTTTCGCAGTAACTGTTTTGTGTCTCTTTAACAACTGGCGCTATTCTGGGAATACCATCATTAGAAGCTATTAATTTGCCCTTATGATTTGTGATGTTGCTCTGGCAGGAGTTCCAAAATAAGACCGATGCTCTGATAATGCCCCTAGTTTCAAAGACCAGTAATCATTATGATCTTATTGGTGTTGCAAAGGATATTTGAATACCAGCTTCCCCATTGGATTGTGGGTGATATGGTGGAACCAAGGTATGTGCTCAATGCAATTTTTATCCAATACAGAAACTGGTGGAACCTCTTCACACCGAACACAATTCACAATTTTCGAGTTCCCGGTTTTCGCTAGAAAGCCGCTAGAGGGCTATCAAAGTACCCGGATGACAACCACTGTCACGGCTCTGAGTGGGGTTAAAATAACCACAGCTTTGGCGTTTACTTGCTGACGAACGCAAAGTGAATTTCTTTGCTTACTTTCGAGGACGCAGTAATCACAATGGTAAATTGGTATTGCAACACCCCCAGGCTGTTCTTCCAGTGCCATAAAAAACAGACAAAATATCCGGTGCTTTCCAACGTAACTGAATCTTAAATGTCGGCGTTTTTATGTCTAGTCTGGTACTTCTCAAAATATAACTGGCGTGCGACAGGTTCATTCTCGATGAAAAAATCTAGGTGCGGAGACTGCACTTGCTGATTGCTGATTAGTATTGTTTTCACGATGTAGTTGTCTGAATTATTAGTTTTTCCGCATATGAAGCACGCAGTGAGCTATACTGGCTGTTACACGGCCATGTTGATATTTAAACAAATGCGATTTAGTTTTGCTGATTTAGTGAAAGTAATTCCATTAGTTCAATGTCGGACACGGTGAGTTCATTTGCCATGTACTGTATAAAATTAGTTGCACTTGAAGATTTGAATTTATTGCCTAAATCCGGAATTGTTGATGGTTCTGTTACTGAGTTTAACATTGGATCCAACATGTGGTTGTAACATGAGTTCACGTAAATAAAATAGCTTTGATTAAATCTTCGTTGTTTTCATGGCATGATTTTCTTCCTGGGTTGTAAGATGACAATGTTGGTTTAGCAGTGACTGGACGCGATTTATTTCGTCTTGTATCGATATTATCAATTTGCAGGGGGTGGATACCTTTCTCGGCTTGTACCATATACA